TTTTTTTTTTTTTTTTTTTTTTCGGCACATAGCTCTCCGGCCGAGGCTTTTCGAGGATCTGGACCCAGGGTTGAGCATAGCAGCGAGAATGTAGAATGGAAGTAGGTAACCTTTGGGATTTCGACTTGATATATCGCGGCAAGACGATCTACGATCCACCCCGAGAGTAGACCGATATAGACGCTGGTTGGAATGTTTTATGCAAATCGAGAATCAGGAAGCAAAAGGAAGCCTTATGAAAATGAAACTTTTAACCTGGCCAGGTGTGTAACCGGTGGAAATAACCGAAATACCACCGGTTTCCTACCGTACTCTCATCCATATTCTCTTTTTCATTCTTTATACCGGTTGATCCGTGCGAGATAGCTTTCAACCGAATCCGAAACGTTTTTTTTTTTTTTTTTGGTCCCTATTATGTTAACGAATTAACACCGTTTGTGAGATTTCGAATTAATATTATAATGGTCACATTTTAAAATTCTCGTTGCTTCTCTCAAGTTATTTATACATAAATAATTTTTATTCTGATTTCTATCGATTGATTCCGTCAAAACTGGCAACTCGATGTAATAAGAGCACACGCATCGTTAAATAGATCGACGACCCTTGGGCTTCTCATAACATGCAATTCCCGGCCCATTCCAAGTGAAACGAATCAAAAGTTACTGTTTAATTTATTCAGATAGCCTCAAGGTTTTTTGATCATCCTTTCAACGACGACCGATTTTTGCATGCATGTATTATGCAGCGTCGTCGATTCCGGAGTGAAGGCTCGCCACGCCATCATTTCGCTCCACCCCTTATTCCCACTATTATCCGAAATGCATAAGATCGGTACGAATTTGCGGCTCGCGGGCCCCCCCAAATATCCCCTTCGACCAAGTTAACGGGGTGGACCGTAATTGAACGGCTCGACATCGCGGAGACCGATTTTTTGGAAGGGATAAAAGATCGTGCGCGCAATTTCTCTGCATTCTCTCTCTCTCTCTCTCTCTCTCCGGTAATCATAGTTTCTTGCCGTTAAGCGTGATGGCGTCTTGGTCGTTGAAACCGGCTCTCCCCACGCGCATGCGCTCGACACGGTACACTTGCTGGTGGGGGGGAGAGACTCCTTCGGGGCCCTCGAACTTCGAGTAGCCGAAGGAACACGGTTCCTGTGCTCTCTCCCTCCCTTAGTTCATTCCGTGTACAGCCAGTTTCGTAATCTGTATTCTCTTGCAAATTATCGGATAGATCGATTTCTGGTCCTACGCTACCGCTCTTTTGCAGCCTTTTTCTTTTTATCGGTCAATATTATACCGAGATGAATGAAACCGTCACGTTGTTTTGAAGGTATAATATATGAACTTCATATCAGTTTTTCAATGTTTTTTTTTTAGGTTATGTTGTTGATGTCTAGGTCAGACAAGTTTTTCAATTATCAATTAAATAATCATTACATTACAATAAAGTATATAATATATATATATATAATTTTCTTATATATTTTAAAATATTGTTATTTTTTAATTCATAGAGATTAGTTAATGACAAAAGTTTCCTGGATCTGGATTCTGTCCAATCTGTTAAATTTGATGATCCTTTTCTCGGAGCACACGGAATTTAATGAAGTCCATCTTTGGTTGATTAAGTCCATTACCGATTGTGTTGTAAACATAAAAATCTGGTATGCAACGATGTCGTGCGACAATGTAATCAACGAGAGTAGAAATAGATTTGCATGTCACGATTGACTATTGTCGAGGCCCGTCTAAATGAATAGCCATCTACTATATCTTGCAAATTATCGAATTATCTAGCCCAGGTACTTGTTAACTGGTACAAGTTAAGTCATTACTGCGGAATGCAGTCGCGCGGGAGCATGCATTATACATTAATCCAATCCTGTTATAAGTCTACGATGCGCTATTAGCCATTTTGTGTCTACCGATCATCTATCGATACGGTTGCAACTCTTTCTCAACTTTTTAACGCTAGAAGTACCAAATGAGTCAAATTAATTAATTACAAATTTATTATTTTCTTAAATATCAAAAAGGTGCGTTTATTCTTAGTTAAATTAATATTGGTTCTTATTTGAACGAAAGTATAATTATTCTTTTATATTTATTATTTTAATTCTTTTATATATTTTCGAGAATCTTTGCATTTCGTATAATTCAAAAGAAGTTAGAATGTGCTGGAACATGCATCACGATTTTTTTTGTCTGTCGCAGCTATATCGGATAATATGTTAAGATTTAGGCGACAGACTGGAATTTATTACTATTAGAAGAGAATAAAAAAATTTACCTGAAATAAAAGGAAAAATTAAATTATTTTTAAACTATTCAACTTGTAGATCGCGATCTTCAAGAAAGGTAGTCAATTATATTTTTTTCTACCTTTCCTCTTACCTTTAACCTACCTTTATCTACCCTCCAATTAAAATTGCATCTTTTAATAATTTTATTTAATTCTAAGAAAATGAAAAGAGGAGGGATTGTAATTTATTTGATCATTACAAAAGTGTAGATCGAAAAGAAAAAAAAAACACTTCTTAGAAAATAATGTCGTTTATCTCTTTGTCCATTCGTCATCTTGATTTCCTCCGTGACGATCGAACAAACAAATTCTTTCCAAGAGGATGGGGGAGGGATATAAAAATCTCGCGTCACATTTTTCCTATTCTCATTCAAACGAAGCGACTAACGATTCGGAGAGGATGCACGAAAACGCGGAGAAAAACGTTCTCGCGGCCAAGTCGAATCCGTTCTTTGTGAGGCCAGAAAGTGTGCGCGTGCACTCTCTCTCTCCCTCTCCGCCCCTCTCTCTTTCTCTTTCTCCGCTCGTCCGCAGTCTCTGCTCGAGGTCTCTCTGCCTATAGAGTTGGAAATAAGGCGGCAATAAAGCATATGTAAAATATATTCTGGAATTCCTTTTAGGACGCAGATATATGGGTGGTTGGTGGGTCGGTTGCCCGCTGGTAACCGCGTCCCCC